GCTCGAGTTTCTACCAGCGTTTAAGGCAGCGTTTGATCGATCCTTCACACCAGCCAATATCCGCTCAGCCTTTCAAGGCGCAGGCCTTGTTCCTCTCCAGCCAGACGCTGTTCTATCAAAGCTTGACATAAAGCTGCGTACGCCTACTCCTCCAGCTGCTGTCGCAGAGGCTGTCTGGCAGGCTCGTACCCCAAGCAACGTACGCGAGCTTGAAGCCCAATCAACGCTAATACGTGACCGGGTTCAGCGGCATAAGAGTTCATCACCAGCGTCAATTATTGCGGCAATTGGCCAGCTTAAGAAGGGGGCAGAGATAATGATGCTCTCGGCTAAGCTAATGCGCGATCAGCTCGCCAGCCTTGAGAGGGCTAATGAGGCAGCAACAAAGCGTAGGCAGCGTAAGAAAAAGCGGATATAGAAGCGAGGAGTACTTACAAAGGGAGCTGGAGAGGATCTACTCGCTCAGCGCGAGGCTGATCAGCAGATTGCTCATGAAGAGCGTCAGAGAGGAGAGCGATCAGGTGTTAGCCGCCAGGCTTTGGCGCGCTGTAGTAGGTGCAGAGAGACTGGCCATAACTCGCGTACGTGCAAGAAAGATACTCTAGGTACTGCTTAATCTATTATGTTAATATGTAGTAAAACAACTATATTGTGGTGGAACTACAGGCTTATAGAGGTGCGCAGGTTTGGTGGGGTGCGGCGCTCGCTTGCCTGCGGCGCTCGCTTGCCACATACGTTATACTTAATTCGTTTTGGCATTCTTGGTATTTCTAATTGTTCTAACATTTATTATTTTTCAAGGTATATAATCTCTCAACGATTATAAGAATTTCAAAAGATATTAAGCTTTACTGGAGCTTTATTCAAAGAGTGGTGGGCTATAGATGGAGTAAAAGACTATTGTAGTATCATCTATAACGTGGTTCATAAGCGAGTCGGCCACCCAAGCGAGTCGGCCACTTTGTACCGTCGCGTCAACTTCAACACGTTATCACAGTCTTTTATCACAGTCAATAAACTATTGCAATATACCAAATTAATTGTCAGAATCGCTACTATTACTTGCACTATCTATCTCAACTGCGCAGGTACGAGCGTTGTGTCCAGTCTGCTTGCAACGCCCGCACCGCCGCTCTCCTCGCACCCTCTTCGACGTACTCTCACCATCACCACGACTGCTACCCGCCTGTTCAGCTAATACTTCTTGTACTTCGCCTACAGTAAGAGTCTCTTCTGTCCGTACGTATCGCCGCTTGCGGTTCTTACGCTTATTTGCTGTGTCTAGAGCCTCTCGAAGAGCAGCTACTTCCTCCCTCATAAGCGTCATCTCATGTGCTATTTGCTGAGCCCCTTTACTTAGCTGCACAACCTTCTCGTCAAGAGAATTTGCAGAAGACCCAGGGCGGTTTCTTACTCTCTGTCGAATAAGAGTACTTTGAGCCTCAACCTCGCGCGCGTTGCGTGGTGTCTGCGCCTCCCAGGCGGCTGCCTGTCGCGGTGATTGTACTGGCGTCTGCACCACCACATCAAGCTTAGATAGCACAGCCTGTGGGTCGTGTGGGACTAGTCCAGCGCCTCTGAAGCCAGCTTGGATATTCTCCTTCGTGATAGATTGCTCAAAAGCAGCCTTAAAGGCTGGTAGGAAGGTTTCCTTGCTAATATAGTGGGTGCGGTTGCGTGCCAAGCCTGTAACAGCGTCGCCATACTTACGCTTCAACGGCGAGAAGCAGGCGACGTCAAGGGGCTGCAACAGGTGAGACGAGTGTGGAGGCATGCAGAGAAGAATAATATTCTTCTCCTTGCAAAGATCTTGAAAATCGATGGAGCAGTGGCTCTCATGGCCGTCAATAATAAGCAGTCGATACCCACCTATAGTATGCCTCTTTGTATAGGTATCAAAGTGCTCTAACCAGGCAAGACCAAGCTGATTATTCGTCCAGCCATTAGGACTGACTTCAAGAACCCAGTCGGCAGGCAAATCCTCAAACCAGACGTTGATAAGCACCTTGCCCGCAAAGACAACGAAGGGTGGTATTCAGCGACCCGACGCGCCCACGCCTTAGATCACAGTAACCCACTCACGGTTGCCTGGCTGTACCCGTTTCTTTTTCCCATATCCTTCTAAGCCTGTGATAACTAACTATGATAAAATCTTGCCCATCATAAAGCCAGTTTCGTCAAAGTTGTAGATATTATCGTCCACAATACCCCACTTCTGCTTTGTCGCCTGGACTAAGTCAAACCAGCGCTGGATAGCCACTGGATCCTCGCAGGCGGCTCGCTGGTGATCATAGGGACGGCTCCAGCGCGTACGGAGCTCAGGAGTCCGCTTAACAAAGTTGTCAACCCAGTTCTTGCCAACAGGGTTGCCACCACGCTCCTCTAACAGTTTATCAGCCATTGCTCGAACCTCAGCCTTTATAGGGGCAAATCCTCGCGTAGACTCTTCAAGAATACGCCTAACAATAGCCTCCTCTTCTAGCTTATTTAGGCGCTTTGAATTCGGTTCGCAGTCGCGTCGAAAGCGCTTTCCAGCGCGTCGGTCTTGGAGAGTAGTTCGAGGCACGTTATAGATAGAAGCAGCACGTCTTTAGCTTTAAACACGTTGCGATTGGACGTCAAAAAGAGCAAGTTAAAGATCAGATTTAGAATAGATTAACAAATGATTGTGTGGTTGAGACATAACGCGTTATAGTGTTAACGTCGACGCGCCGG